ATGCTGAATACACATGATGTGGAGGCTGCTGAAACATGTTTAATAGATTAATTGATTCTGCTCAACTGAATTCTGTTGGAGAAGACGTCTGGCATGTGTATAGGTTGCCCCCTGTTGCATCTAAAAACTATTACAAAAACTGAAGAAAAAGGATACGTGGAGTCATCAAGGTGACACTAGGCATGTGTCTCTAGTTAAAAGTTGGTTTATTTTTTTTCAGTTAAATACATTAGTTTGTATTTATTTTTAGTTTCAGCTGCTTGTTCAGCTTCTGAATGTTTCATATATTTTAATAAGGTTCAGACTGTTTGTGGTGACTAAACTTTGCAGCATCAGAAGTCTGATGTTTTAAGAGACAACACTTTGGTATTTGGAAATTTAAGCTTTCCTAGGTTTTTTCCCCATTATCATTAAGCTTAGTTGCTTTGATCACAAGCATTTAATTCAAGTATCTTACAGGTTTTCAGTTTGATTGCTGTTGAAATGAAATAGAAAGATATGGTGTTTTCTTGCATACTTCATGTCACTCAAATAAGACATGGACCTTGATTTTTGTTTTTGTTTTGGGTTTTTTTAGAACCCAAATATAGGAAGAAGTCATGGCCTAACCCTACTTTTCCATGGAGAGACTATGTTGTGAAATGGCTGCCAGGTTCTTTCTCAGCTAGCAAGCTGAGCTTCTGTGAAGAGGTTAACTTTGGGCTTTGCCTCCTTGCAGAGAAGGTGGCAGCCATTTTTCAACACAGCATCTTCATGCTTATCTTCTGGTGAAGAAAGCCAGACTCCTTGCTTAAAACATGCACCCCAGTTTTGGAGGGCTGCTTTTCTGGGTTCATGGTATGTGTACTATGTGACTAACTATGGTATTCAAAAATAATGTTAGGAGACGACATCTCAGTCTCCCAAATATGTTGGTATTCCATGTTAAATGTGAGAGAGAAATATTTGGGTTCAGGCAGGATGGTTTTATATCTTGGGTAATTTGCTTCTGAACAGCTTTGTTTACATGTTCTTCTTTTGTATGCATATTGATTTAGCACATTGTAGGTCTTTGTGGTAGTGATCATCCAAAGTAACAATGTTGGCTATCAAGCTGGCAGTCTCCGAGCAACAACGCTTCCTTTACAAAATAATTACCTAACAAATAAATTGCTCTTCTCCCCTCCTGCGTACGCACCCAAAGCCTTAACCAGATATTTTTAACAGGTTGCTTCAAAGCTTTAACCTTACTGTTATTTGAAGGTTGCATTGTGGATAAATCTTTAGGATTACTTCAATAGCTTCTGACCCTGCTGGTTGTGGTTTTAGAACAGATCTGTGTTCTGGTCTAGATGTATGTAACAGTGTGTGTGACTCAATTTTGAAAGCCTCTGTTGGTTATGGGAGGATTGCAACCATATGCTGTTAAACCAGTTTGTAGCATTTCTTCAGTGGCAGCAACTGAAGTAGCTCTGTTTGCCTGAACAGTCAAAATAGGTAATATTGTCCACTTTGACAGAAAAAAGAGAAATAAATTGTGGCCTGACAAGCATACACTCCTGTTTTTGCAGGTGCTGCTGACAAAGAATTATGTTCCATGCAGTATTATAGAAAGCATTGAAAAAGGGCAATGGCAAGAGGTATCAAAAAGTATAAGCAGAGGAAGCTAACAAAGTAGGTGTTTAAGACTTACGTTAGCTATTGTGTGCATTAACCAAGCTGGGGTGTTTTTCCATTAGCCAGGTTGTGTTTAGAATACTTGTTCTCTGTTTGATGGTGTTAAAGGAGGTTAAGGAGTTGGTGATAGGTGTCTTAAAAGATTTTCTTTCTTTGAAATAATTGGAACACTTCATCCCAAGCATGGGGAAGCATTAATAGGTCTTGAAAAATGAACACACAACTCCAAAACGGCCAAGATGGATGAGAGAGAGAAGGTGTGTTGGAATGGGATTTTGAAACTTGCTAATGCAACCATGCAAATGAGTGAATTTTTAAAATTGATCTTTAACCAGATGATATCTGTTCTTCCCCTTGACTCTTAAATTGTGGTTAGGTGCAGACTGAGCTACAGTCTTACAAGATGAAAGTGACTAAATACAAATAGACTGCAGAAGTTTGGTCTTGGTGATTACCTTATCAGACTTGTTCTTGTTTAAAGGCAGATTTTGTTTCTAACTACCATTATTATAGCACTTATGGTCCTGGTCCATGACTAGGGCTTGTGTTGTGGTAGGTGCTGTGCCAGCAGAACAAAAAGATGGTTGCTGCTCTAAAGAGGTTATAGTCTAAGTCAGTGGTCCTCAACCTATTCAGGGTCATGACACCCACCTCCACTTTGAATGGGGAGGCCTTCCTTAGCTGAGAACCCCTGTCGATGCTGCCTCAGCTTAGCTCAGTGCTTCTCAGCGCAGTTCTGCAGCCTCCAGGTGAAACTGCTCTGCCTGCCTGTGAATGGCTAAGCCATGTGTACATGTTCCCCTTGCATTAGAGCTCTCTGTTCAGCCTAAAGCAGGCAACAGCTGCCTTGTGTAACCCTACCTAGCCAAGCACTCCCTACACTTTGGGAACCAGAACTTACCTGTCTGCTTCCACCCGCCCCCGTTTCTGAGAGGAGCACAGGGAGTGCCAGACCAGGAAGTGCTATATAGCACAAGAGAGCCATAATGCAGGGGAAGCCCGGAAGGCAGTTTTTACTAGGATACATCCACAGCACCCCTACAGCAACCTTACAGCACTCAAGAATGCCACAGTACCCAGTTGAGAACCAGTGGTTTAAATATAAGGGACCTACTAAATTTACGATTCAGCAATTTGTGTAGAACCATAAAGAATGACAGGTTTTCCAATTTTGGCAGGCTCTCTGCAACACCCCCCCTCCCCTCTTACCAGCAGGCAGAGAAAAGAGTGAAGGGTCCTGCAGTCTTGGAGCATGGCGTGGGGGAAGGGAGGGAGCTGCTTGCAGCAGGGGGCTATCTCCCCTTCTCCCTGCCCCCTCTTCCCCTCCCCTCCCCCCTCGGCCTTCCTCCCCATGCTCCAAGACAGCAGGGCTTCTCATCCTTTTCTCTGCTTGCTGATAAGGTTGTGGGGTTTTTTGGTGTTTTTTTGCAGTGAGCCCACCAGAATCATAGAGTCTGCTGCTCGGGAATGGCCAGAAACTGTCTCTTAATTATCCTGATTAAGCCCAGGGAAACCATTAATCCATGCTTAACACATGGATTAATGGCTTCACCAGGTTTAACCAGGGTAATTAAAATGCAGTTTTGAACCATGTGGTAATCTGGGGGGAATAGTGGGACTGCTGGGGCTCCTCAGCCAATCAGAGGTGTGGGGGAATCCTGCCATGCTCAGTCTGCAAAAATGGCAGTGGGCCCTGGGATATGCCCTTGAAATTGGCCAGCTGCCTCCTTGAGTTTGGTAGACTCATAAGTATAAGATGAGGAGCAACAGGTGGCTGGGTAGGACAGTACAAGAAAACAATGAGACTTGGCCAGCGTGATAAGCAGTGGTCTCATCATTCCAGCAATAGAAACAGCCCTGCAAACTAAATTTGGGATATGAAAGTCAAGCTGTAATTACTTGCTCATGCATTATTGCCAGTAATGATAGGCCAGATTCTAAAAATGTTATGTAATTGTGATAGAATTTGGCCATGTAGTTGAAATGTGCTTATATCTTTTGATTTATGAGCCAGTAAAATCCAATTTATTCTTCAGCTGTGTTTGTCTGGAATCTGAAGAATAAAGTTAGCAACTCTTCTTCTGGATAAACATTTCAGTGCATATAGGTAACAATAGCTTGGGAAAAGGTGTTGCTGGGTTTTTTATTGTTGTTTGTTGTTTGCCACTTTTGATAAAGGACCATTGTAATTGTGGGGAGAGAGTGAGAGTCAGTGATGGGGAGGACTGAGAAAAAGCTTAAAGCATGCTGTACTATTTACCATTTATAGGCAAATACCATTTGTGGGTACTGCATTATAGATTTTCCAGCAGTCATACTACTTGTTACAGTAAGCTCAGTGATGCGCCAACTTAGAACCACAGCATTTTTGTACAAATGGAAGTATGCGAGTCAAAGGATATACGAGAGTGACCTGATCATCAAAATGGATCGTGGGATGGTTAAGGAACCAATTTCAGCAAAACACTGAGAAGAGAAAGGTATTCACGCTAGAGTGAATGGTTGGAGTCTATAAGAGCTTGGACACCCAGTTTCACACAGCATAATACTGGAAATAATTTTTGTCTAGTTGCACGTCAGATTGAGCATAAATCAAGCCTAAAGTAAAGGTGCCATATAATCAGTTAGTTCACTCTAACATTTTTTTGCCTACTTTAGTTTGTGGCTCAGGTATGCACTTGTAGCTTAGTGCACATACTTGTGTACAGTGGATGTGGTTTGGCAGCTGTTGATCCTTCCAGATCATGGTGTATGCATGAGAGGTCACCCAGACCTTCGATGCATATGCCTAAGTGAAGGCTGCCCACATCTTCCATCCCCCCCCCTTTAGGCCACTGAAACAGAATCCAAAGCCTAGAATAGGACCAGACATTTGGTGCCTCCATGGCTGTATTTTGTATAAGTGTCCATGAATTGAACCTCTCTCTCCTGTGTGGCAAACAAGGATTCTACCACTGAACCGCAGGGGACTCCTTCAGTGGATGTGCTAGTTTTGTTTTAAATGATCTTTTTAGTTAGAAAGGTGGGTTTTGAAAGCATGAAGTACTAACTTTGGTACAAAATTTGTTGGATCTAAAGGGCTTTAAACTCATGATATGAAAGCAAATTTTTTTTTTTTTTAAAAGCATGGTGTCTGGGGATTTACAGGGGAAAAGTCATAATTAATGGAAACTTGGTTTGCCACTTCAAGAATACTATTCAATAAAAAGCACAAATAATAGCAATTATCTTAATTTAGGACCATCACTAAATGAAGAACACTTTAAATGAAGAACTCTTAACGTGATGGTTGTTTAAAACTGCAGATTTAATTGCTTTTTGCATGGTTTTGTTTTTTGTTACAGTCTTGGCCCGTTGGTCAGTAAGGTAAAGGAATATCAGGTGGAGACCATTGTAGATACGCTCTGTACTAACATGCTTTCGGATAAAGAGCAGCTACGTGATATTTCAAGCATTGGCCTCAAGACGGTCATTGGAGAACTTCCACCAGCTTCCAGTGGTAAGAAATACCCTTTTCCCATCTCACTGTTTACATAAAGCAGGAGTGGGCAGTGTATGGCCTGTGAGCTGGATCTGTGCTACTGACACTGGCCCCACTTTCCACTGCTTCTCCCTAGCAGCAACTTCTTTCCCTTTGGATGCATGTTCTGTATGTGAAGGTAAACATCTGGTCTGCAGAGCAGAGGCTTTCTGGGTGTTTGGTCTGGGGGTGGGGCTTCGCCTGTGTTGCTCTGTGCCATGACTGGGTGGCCAAGTGTTTTGCTCGTGCCACACTACATACAGCCCAAGCACCAGCCCACTGCTGTACAACATAGTCAACCTCTGACTTTAAGAATAAGGTATGCTGACTTAATTTCTTCTCTGCATTCAGTTCATTATTTTATTTTATTGAAAGTGAAGTAGGTTCTGATGTACATCTGCTAGCATTGACTTTGAAATTCATTGTCATCAGATGAAAATTAATTTTGTGTGTCTGTTGTTGTTCTTTTGTTATAATCAAGGGCAGGCAAAATACAGTTCGTGGGCCAGATCCAGCCTGTCAACTGATTGCATCCATCCCATGGGTGGGTGTCCGCCACTTAATTGGATCTGGCCCACAACACTCTGCATGGGGTTGAGCCCTACCTACTCCCACCTGAGGCAGTCCACGCCACACTCCTGCCTGCATCCTCCGGACAATCCTGGCCCTGGCCAGCACGCACAGCTTCCCAGCAGGGCTGCTTCCAGTGTAGCTGCCTAGGTACTGCTCAGTTTTCCCTGCCTCCAGCGGCTTGTCCTCCTCTTCCTCCTGCTCCTGTTGCTCTGTTCCAGTTCGGGGGTGGGGAGGCTTCAGCCAGGTGGCTGTTGTCCCAGCATGTCAGGCTCCAGCTCCCAACAGCTTTCCATTCATTCCACCTGCAGGTCATCACTCTGGATGACTGAGTTGGTGGAAGGCAGCCAGGAGCTAGAGCCCTATCCACTGGGGCAGGAGCCATCTGGCTGCAGCCCCCCCCCCCCCCCCCCCCAGCCCCCCTTCTCTTATCAGTGACGCCCCCCCCCCCCCCCCCCGCCTGGAATGCTATAGTAGGGGCAGGAGGAGGAGGAGCCACTGGAGGCAGGGGGGACCCAAGCGATACCTGGGCTGCCCTGGTGGGAGCAGGCACAACTCAACCTTGTACAGAGTGCCACAAGGGCAGCCATGGGCTGGATGCCAGTGCAATGTGGACCACCTCCGCTTCGCCTGGGTGAGCTCTGCTACACGTACCCCCTGCCACTCCTCCCTTCATTCTTCCCCCTACCTCCGGCCAGCTCCTGGCACCAAGCATATGGGCAGCTCCCTA